CTTTACTGAATTTGACCAGTATGGTTCCTTCTTTGTATACCAAAGAATCTGCGAAACAGAGAACTGCTAGTGAAATATGGAAAACTTGGAATCCTCCTTTGGATGCTGAAGACAAGTTACTCAACTAAGTCATCATCTTAATGATGTCAAAGCCATTTCCAATTTTATGTTAGATTCTACCTCAGCCCAATGAACCCACCTCCCATAGCCCAACACAGAATCACTTCAGTTGCATCTGTAAAACAAGGCTCTCTTTGGAACAGCACATCCTGTTTAATTACTGGAACTAAAATAAAATTAAAAATGCAATTCATATTACACAACATAAGGGAAACTTTAAAAGGTAAAAATAATGAACAGAAATAGCCAGAACCCCTGGGAAAAACCATCAAGCAAAATGTAAAAGATCTTTCTTTAAACCTGTATCATATTATTGTAATTATTCTGAAGACATTTAAACTAAGAACTTCATAATCTTGCCTTCCCAAAGCAAGACCTTAATATGCACTATTAAACTTGAAGGCAATGTTTGTCAAGGCTCAAACTTGAGAAAGAAAACAAGATATAGGAGAAGAAAACACTTTTTGGAAAGAAAAACTGCTGGTAGTGGAATTCCCTGGATCCTGTTTGATATGGCCATTTTATTTAATATTTAATTATCTTTAAGGGCCAGGATAAAATATCCAAGTCTACAACTGCTACTGCAAGACCCGAGAGCTCCTAATCAATGACTATCAAAAAACCTCATAGACTTGTGCGTAAACCATTAGAAAAGTCCCAAAAAGTACACCTCAATGTTGGCAAGCCAAGGTGATGAGGAGAAAAATTCCAAACCACGGAAAGGACATAAAAATGATGAAGGACTCTTGTCTTAAGGGCAATGGATATTTGGCAGTTATTCTCAATTCCTGTTGTGTATTAGAATCACTTGAAGTTTTTAGAAGGACTGAACACCTCACCTTGCCGCCTCCTCCCAGGGATTCTGGGGCTCAGGCAATGACTGAGAACCATTGCATTAGACATTTACTGGGTCCAATGTACTGTTCAAACAAAGGATGGTACATTGACCATCAAAGGATGGTACACTGACCACCAGAAAATGCTATTCTGACTTTCTGCAGGAGGTATTGGGAGGACACCACAATGTAATTATTGAGTTTCAAAAGACCAAGACTTTGGAGGAAGATACATTGAAAATTAAGATTCTGAAGGATGAATGTAGCCTTGCTCTGAAACCCAGAATGATGCTGCACCGGAATTTCTGGGAAACCAGAGAGAAATGATGTTAAGGCCAGAGGGCAGATCCCACTGAGAGTAATCTCCAAGAGGATGTGGAAATGTCCTCAGGGATTAGTGGCCAAAGGAGCCAAGGCATCCACTAGGATGCTGGGGATGGTGGTGGTCTCCCATGGGGAGGGCAGGAGGGCTGGCTGGCTAGGGCAGAGACATCACCCAATTGCAGTAAGAGTGCTGTTGCTGCAGTAACTTCCCGGCCTCTGTGGATGGTAAGTTCCTGGTGGAGAGGGAAGGGAAGCCCAGGGAAGTCTGGGGCAAGAAGAACTTGGTGCAGAATTGGCTTGTGTATCTCTGCAGGTTCCCAGGGAAGCACCCAGGGCCCACTTCTACTGGGTAAGTCTGTTCCTATCTCAACCACAAAACAAACCACACCCTTCACTATACCACCCAAGACACTTGTCCTTGACCAGCCAAGTCTACTTCCCCTTCTTATGGGGGGAGGGGGGAGGGTGTTCATTTTGTTCTCTGTAACAATGAGTGAGGTTCACAAAGCACATGATGCCCTTGAGTGGGGATAAGTTGATGGCATGAGGCCAAACCACAATTCAGTAAGCGAACTACATGGGGGTCACACAGCTCTCACATTTGACCTCTATTTCACTATCAGGTTCTGTATCCTGAGGGGTGATGGGCTCCAGCATGAACTCCTCCCCAGGCCTGAAGCTTCAGATTATGTGACATAAACCAATTCCCTGTTCTTTTTGTCCATCTCTGCAAGGACAAATGCATATACCTCATATTTGTATAGAGCAAGCAATATCTAGGTTAAATTTGGAGGAATCGATCAATCAGCTAACAAATCAAGTGTTTGGCTATTATGTCCAACACTAGAGAAATCTAAGTCACAATCAATCCAACCCAGAATTGTCCTTCTAGTAGTGGCTGCACTTTAAACTTTAATACACACATGAGTCACTTGGGCATCTTATTACAATGCAGATTCTGATTCAGCAGGTCTGGAGTGGGGCCTGAGACAGTTCTTACAAGCTCCCGGGCCATGTGGAAGCTGCTGGCCCAGGACCACAGGCCCCTCAAGAATGCTGCGTTTTCCTTTCAAGCCAGCTCTATCCTAACAAGTAAAAGAAAATATTTAGGCACTATCACAGTAAATATTTCTGCTAATGATGAAAACAGGACAGAGGAAGCCATGCTTGAATTACCTATGCTCCCTGGGTAGTCATAGAACTTAATAACAGGGTTTTAGAAATGCAAAAAACTTGAAGGCTCACCTCCTTCTGCCTCTAAACACACAGATGGGGAAACAGAGGTCCCAAGAGGGACATAACTTGACGATCCTCACACAGCTAATTGATTTCATGGCGAATCTAATGTCCCAGCCTCCTGGTCCTCAATGAGGTGCTCTTTCCAGCACACTATGACTGGATTTAACCTCCTAGACATTCAATCTCCTAGCTTCACGGCCCTAGCAATGGAGACTTCTTCTGTTTGAACCCAAATCCATGTCATGTCAAGTGTAAGCACACCTTAGCCCCATGACTGGCCCATGGCCCTGTTGTCCTTCTGTGTAGCACTTGGATAATGGCCACAAAAACACAGGTTGCTGCACTGACCATATGGAAAATACCCCAATCATCTCCCCATGATAAGCCCAGTGGAAGAGTTGAATCATCACTACTGGGAACAGAATCATAAAATATTATTATTTGTGAATTGGGAATTAAATAACAGAGTTAAAGTAATATTTGTATTAGAGTATGATAAAGCCTAGCAAAGCAAACAATTCCCAGATAAGAATGTTTGAAATAGGCTTCAATGACTCGAAAGCTATAATTTACAATCCAAAGGCCACAATGGGACTTAGTAAAAAGAACCACCCACAAAGTGTTTAACCTGATTTTAACTCTCTCAGGGTTAGGGGACCAATAGGCAGGAGATGCACAATTGTCTCCTCTATGCAGCCCTCCCCGCTGGGCAGCAGGGACCCTGGTAAAGTGGCAGGGACAAGGAACCTGAGGATAAATATGCCCAGGATGTTCTGAGATGAGCACCAAATTCCCCTCCACCTTTGGGCAGGGTGGGGAGAGAGGAGGTGAAGCTCTCCGTGCCACTGTGCATAGCTAAACCATGGCTCCTGGCACAAGCCATGTCATTCATTCCTTTCTCACCCCAGCCTCAGTGAAGGAAAAAATGTGGAAAGGGTTAAAGGAGCCTGTTCATCTCTCTCTCTGAAGTCAAGGAGTGAATCAAGTACATTAAATTTATACAGCTTTGAAATACAGACCAAAATATAAAATCAAATGTAGAACAGAGCAACAACAAAATTAAAATATCCCATAGACAAGTGGCTGTGGAGCCACAAAATTACTACATTAATATATAAGTGTATAGTAAAAGCAAATCACAAACAACCTGGAAATGACAGATAACCACTGTCCTCCCAATATCAGCACCACCTTCACTAGTGGGCTCAAAACATACTTCCGTGTGAGGCAGGAGTGTTAGGCTTGACCCCTAGATCTACCACCAATGAACTTAAACTCTCTGAGCCTCAATTTCCTCATTTTTATTTTATTTTATTTTTCCTGAGGTGCAATTAATTTATTTTCACACACTGAAGAGATGGGGGGATGGACCCATCGTGGGACTGGGGCTCTGTTGTCCCTGCGTCTAGTTTAACAAAATTCTCCTATTATTTGAAACAGTCCAAGGGATAGTAAATTCCTGAGAGTTTGAGGAAAATCACAGGCTTTGGAGTCAGACTGGTTAAATAATCTATGAAAAGCATTTAGCATATAGTTGATGCTCCTGTTTTAGTGTCTACTTAAAAGTACTACCATCTTCATTCATTTATTTATTCATCTGGACATCTTATCAATTTCCACATTTTTTAAAAAATTTTATTATGTTATGTTAGTCACCATACAATACATCATTAGTTTTTGATGTAGAGATCCACGATCCACTGTTTTTGTATAACACCCAGTGCTCCATGTAGTACGTGCCCTCCTTAATACCCATCACCGGGCTAACCCCTCCCCCCCCCCCCTCCCCTCTAAAACCCTGTTTGTTTCTCAGAGTCCATAGTCTCTCATGGTTCATCTCTCCCTCTGATTTCCCTCCCTTCATTTTTCCCTTCCTTCTCCTATGTCCTCCATGCTATTCCTTATGTTCCACAAATAAGTGAAACCATATGATAATTGACTTTCTCTGCTTGACTTATTTCACTTAGCATAATCTCCTCCAGTCCCATCCATGTTGATGTAAAAGTTGGGTATTCATCCTTTCTGATGGCTGAGTAATATTCCATTGTATATATGGACCGGCCAGGAATGGTATGAACACCATCTCATATAATATTCACAACCCTTATGAGATGGTGTTCATACCATTCCTGGCTGGTCCAGGCACTTTGAAAACCAAATTCCTATCTAAATAATCCATGTTCACCTCACAAATATTTACTGAGCTCTGGCAATGCCCCAGATGCTGCCATGCTGGAGGGGATTCAGCAGTTACAAAAAAGACAAAGTCTTCGTCTTCAAGAGTCTTACACTCTCATGGCCAGGGCAAGGGGTGGGGACAAGGGACATGTTAAGTACACAGACGAATATATACCAAGCCAGGTGTGGCGAAGTCCCATGAAGGAGGAAAAAAGCAGGGCAAGGAGAGCAGATAGTGCAGCAGAGAAACAACAGGGCATCATTAACGTCCCCTTAAATGTGCAAACTGCACCCAGAAGTTACCTGCACGGTGGAGTGTAAAAACGCTACTGTGTAAAGCATCGGCTTCCACATGGGTAAATTACTGATATCCAGAAGGTCTTGATTAATTCCGGCAAATGTTCTTTTCAAACCTGCGCGTACACCTTGTGGTGGCTCATTAGTGAATTTGAGAGAAGTCTGTCATAAAAAGCAAACACTAGTTTTGTTTCTGTAAATTATTGTACAGGATAAAGTAGAAAGGACAATACTTCAGATAACAGTGTGCGTATGGTACATAAAATGTCAGTGGAAATTCTAAACTAATGACATCAATCTTAGCTGAAACCCCATAAATTAGGACTGAGTCTTAGAACTCTTCTGCATAAATATTTGCTATATAATATTGATGATTATAGTCAAGACCTTGACAATTATAAGATCTTGCAGACTGCTGGATCGAAAGCCCTGTCATGTTTTCATCTTTCAGTGATGTCACTATGCCATCTTTATTCAAATAACTCTCAAGGAAAAGACACTTATGTCACAGTAACAAACCTGAAGCAATGTAATTGGAAATCGATCATGGGGCTCAGTAGTTATCCACACTCGGAAGGAGTCATCATTGGCTTCAGTGGTAATTAATGTCTCTAGCAATTCTTCCATGAATTCTAGGCCAAGGTGACAATTTTGCAGTAATACCCAGCCACCCTGTATTCAAAAATGATTTCATATTAATTTCTTGTAATTTTTTCGCCATGATTTAAAAAAAAACAAAATGTATAATTAAAAAAAAACCACTTTTGCTTAGGGCATGTAAATACTCTGTTTTGAGCACCTGATTTTAATGAAATGATTACACATCAATACAAACATTTCTTCTGCTACTGGTAAGACTGGAATCAAGTACAATCAAAATGATTGTACTCTGCCGTCTCTGGTTCAGAAGGAAACAGAAATTAAAAACTTGAAGTCTTGTGTAAGTACAGCACGTGCACCATCTAATGGTGGGAATGGGTATTTTGGAATTTGTAAAAGCTCATCCTAAAGTGAATCAGAACTGACTCACCCCCAAGCCAAATCATCCATAGACACAAAGAGAGATGCACATTATCTCCTGAAAGTTGGAGACAATACATTTGGTGACTTGGGCTACCAGAATACTAAAACTTACTCTTTGTCATCACTCTTCCCATATAGACTCGAAACCACAAAACTTACTAAGCACTATTTCAATACTTGATAAAGCTATCTTTAGCAATATATAAGTCACAGAACCATCACTGTTCTATGAGAACATAGTTTAACCAGACAACATTTTGATACCCTTATATTAACAAGATCAGATCAATACAGCTACAAAATACTGAGCACAGTAAATATACGGTTTGTGTTTTATGCCTTCTACTGTGAGAGAAAATACAACTCAGACTGGCTTAAAGAGCAAAGCGGACATATTGGCCTAGACAACTGGGGTGGCAGAGGAGGATGGACCTCACAGTTAAATTAGTTGGTGCCATCATGGATCCAGCTACTCGCTCGTTCCCCATTTTGTTCAACAATGTCAGCTTCATCCTCAATCTGGTGTCCCTCATGTGGCAAAGTGGCTGCACCTATTCCTGGGCTGTTGGTTTTTTTTTTTTCCCCTCATAATGTCATTATTATCAATATTTATCCCACCTTAAGAAACAGAGCATGGAACTTATAAAAGCTAATATTCCAAAGAAGGTTAGTGTGAATGAGGTACTAAAATTTAAAAGTTTTTCATTCATGGAAACTAAAGAAATTATTTAAGGTCCAAAGTTAAACTGTCAAATCACTCAATGGAGTGAATCATTTGATCTGAGTAAAAATAATAATATGTAATTGCCTTGATATATATAAATTAGATAACAATATATTGTTGTTATATATTGAATATAATTAAGTGATAAAGATGAAGGCTTCAGGCACTTGAAAATTAATGACTAACTTGAAAATTTGATGGACCAAGCAGAGACTTAGCTCATTAACCCTCTCTGGTCATTAATTCCTAAGGAAAAACTGCACCAAAGCTGCTACAGACCGTATGAGATCAAAAGCTTAAAAATAAACTGAGATCTTACTTTGTTTTTATAAGTGGTGTGATTTCTTATCACAGCTGAAATTGCTATCTACCAAGCATCTCTAGAAAATTAATGTTCTGTGTATTTATTAGGTGTGATGGAAAACATTTCTCAGCATTCCATCTAGCTTGCAATTTTCAATAAAAACCATTATCAATATTTAAGCATAACATCCTCAAATATTTCTTATTTGTCTGAAACTACCCATTAATGAAAAAAAAAAGAAGTCTGACTTTAACCAAAAAATGAAATTTAACTGTCTTGGTCTGTCACTTCTTAAGCACTATCTATTAATATTGATTGTGAAATTCCAGCTAGAGTTGCATTCTTAGAAACCAGGGAGTGTGTCTGCCTAATTGTAAATATATATATATATATAT